GTGGATCCACTGGGGCAGCATTTTGGGATGTTGAGTCCAAAACCTATCTGTCAGTTGACCCATTCTAGCGTTTCTTTTACTGCGGAAGCGTTTTCTGCTGGTTCTGATAAGAGCCACGTGATTGGAGGAATGGCCGACTTGGATGGTTGAACGCGGTGAACTGGCCTAGTGGGTTGGGACCAGCAAACGTTTGGAAAATCCAGTGGCTGGAGTGCTAGAGCTGCTAGCTGCTAGCTAGCTGCTAGCCCTTCAGCCGCCAGAGCGTTTAGATTTCTACGGCTGTCTATGAACCGCTTGGAGCAGTCAGAGTTGGACAACAAGTCGAGGGCCGCTGAAACATGTTTTGCACATCGACAACTGTGCCTACTGATCTAACTGCCAGACGCCGCCAGACGCCGCCAGACGCCCTCCAGCCAGACACCATGGGTGTGGTACATTGCACAGAAGATTCAATCGGCTATCCCGGAGTGGTTTCCTTAGATTTTGGCCATCAAGAGGCGGATGGATTTGACCCTTGACCCATGAAAGTCTCGATCACGATCAGGCACCTAAAAGTCAGATGGTCATGATCTAAGCAGGATTCAAAGGGTACTATTGAGACCTCAGAATGACTCATGGTGCATTTCTCAGATGTGTTGTGGGAGAGGTTCTTGTGGATGAGAGTCTGTCCCTGCGAGTCGCACATCAACGAGAACCAATAATGGGTGAGAACGGAGCATGCCAAAAGAGATCCCCCCTGCCAATCATCAAAAAGGATATATAAAATAATGATAGCCTGGTAGCAATGAATTTTACCACGCACGCGCACAGTGACACCAAGCAGGAAAAATCGATACGTTTTGAACTTGTATTCTTTTTGGTCAAAACCTAATGTATAGTCATCAGTTGGGGTGCATTTGGAAATTCAATCACAATTCCCAAACAAATTCGCCATTTCCAGTCTGAGTGAGCCTAAGATCATTTATCAAATACACTGCAGAGTTGACCAATGGTGGGATGGATTCGCACTACAATTGCCAGCAGTTGTTGATGAACAAAAGATTTGGGTCACACATTTGCAGCGACTCAGACCCCTATAGAATCCAAACCTTGGTCGAAGGGAGATGTTGCGCATATGACACTGAGACGCTGGCTCTTCCACGAATAGTGTTGAAGGTAAAGAGGAAACCATAGCCAAACAGAATCCATGGCCAGATTCTTGCACAGACCAACTAATGTGGGGTTAGAAGAGATCATGAAACCAAAGCACAACCGGCCTCGCAGCACATCCACAGGGTTTCTTTGTCGATCTTGGACAAACACCAAGCGTAGGAAGCGTAGCACCTGCCACAAGACTTCGAAGTCCCTCGCCGTGCATGGCGCCAAGCTTCCTAGACATGGAGGCGGCACCGGAGAAGGCGGAGAAGGAAGTGCCTCCCAGAATGCCGCCCTGCGACTCAGCCGTTGCAATGGCGCCACTCTTGTTCTCTTCATTTGTTCTCGCAGATGAACAACCTCAGAAGCAGATTGGTGTGGGTGAAATGTGTGTTTGATCACTTGAAACTTGGAACCATCAAAACACCGTAAATATATACCGTTTTTGCCCTTCCCAGGTGATGGAGCAATTTCTTGTGCCAACAGTAGGGTCCCCAACGATACCATCGAAAAAGCAAAGATACAAGGGGAACAAGCGAGAAACACCTTCGAACATTGCAATTCTGGATGCTTGCGGTGCTTACAGCAGTGGTTGTTCACATTCTATTAGTCACAAACTCGGGATTGCTCATTATGTTGGTTCCCCAGTCAATGCTCCTTTAGCGGTGCAACATGGTGCAGCTATGTTTGTCCTTCTCCTTTCTGCCCTTTAAACACTTAACTCCGTTTCGATCACCTTCAAGAAGTGGATCCGAGGCTTACGTGTTTTCGTCATCGTCCTATTCAATTTCACCACCAGCATCATGTTGGTGAACTCTGTGAAGTGTTTGTATGACTTGTGCGGATTCAAGTTCCCTGGACTTGTTGATCAGATGCGTTTGATGTTGTCCTTGGTCTTCATGAAGCTACACAGGTCCCAGGATGTATACTGTAAGGTTCATATTGTGTCCTATTCGCGCTAGCCGCTATGCAATTCATATTTCATTACGACCCATGATCATCTATTAGCTTGTCTAGTGATTGGAGCACTTAGCAATCTCAGGTTCCCACTCTTCATTGCGTCCATGCACATGGTCTTCTCTTGGATGGCCACGGCCATGTTTGGAGCCTCACCAGATGGAGAGGGACAGGTTTTGCTCCCGATGGCCGAGCGGATTCGGAAGGTCCTGCCCTTCACAATCCTGCAGGCCGCGTCGATCGCATGTTCCAACCTTGCTTTGACCTATCTCTACCCATCCTACCATGAGCCTTAGCTGGAAAGAAGGAAACGTTCTGTAGACAGATTCAATCCCGAAACACACGGTGTGCATCCCTAAGCTCGCAAAAGATCCGTATACGATAAGAGACGATTGTGTCTTGAGTGATACCTCAGAGCGAGTGAGAGAGACAGACAGAGAGGGAGCGAGGAGAGAAAGGAGCGAGAAAGACAATGAATGACAAAAAGGAGAAACCGTTTAGTTGCTCATTGTTCGAACTGCTCCTTTCGCACAAACTAACCTGCGACTTGCGCTGGAAAATGAGGAGATGGTTCAGTCTTTGACCCCTCTCTTCACCTTGACGGTCAGCGTATTGTTGGAAGGAAAGCGCTATAACTGCTGGGCCTACTGGGCAATGATCCCAGTATGTACCTGGGGCAACAAGCAGTCGCCGAGACTCAGGGATCCAACAATTCCTGGGGGAGGTCATTACCCCGGAGACGGGGCCTGACCAGAATTTGGGATAATTTGGGTCTCAGCTTCCGATCGCCTTTGAGGATGAATCAAGCCCAGTGTTCATTCTTTTGATATGCGGTATTATATACCTATTATAGTTGGAAAAAGGGTGTTCTTTTATGGGTCAAATCATGCCAAACCCCAAACTTGTGAACCTTGCAATCTCACCGCATGTGTTTTGTTTAGCCAGTTGTTTAGCCCTCCCGGCTCCAATCACATGTCAGAGCCACCCTACGTATGTCGGTCATTTTTTGTGGGGACTGGAGGAAGATGCTGGAAACTGGGCGACTGTGAAGTGGAAGAGGAGCTATTTGCTCGTTCCTTTCTTTTCCTTCTTTCTTTATATACGGACTTGACCTTTCTTGAATTGTTTTGTCTCCCAAAGACCGTATTTGAGGTGTTTGGTGGTCCAAAATATAGGTGTGTGTATATATATATATATATAAATGAATAACTTTGAATAACTTGTATTGCGTTTAACTGCTGAAGCTGCGAGGTGGAGGGGGAGCGATTTGCTCTTTCAATGAAGTGAACTTCTCACTCATCGGCAGTATGCTCTCGATTTCAGCCGTAGTGTTCCGGGCCTTGAAGACCATGTTGCAAGGACGGCTTTTATGCGAACAGAAAGTGGACTCCATCACTTTGTGCTACTACATGTCACCCTTCAACCTTGCAATCCTTGGCACAGCTTCAGCATTAACTGAAGGATGGAGACCTTGGAGGATGCTTCTCACAGCTGAAAGCAGTTTTGCTGAGCACTCCTACCTCCTCATGTCACTCACAGTGTCTAGTATTCTCGCTTGCGCTTTCAACATCCTAAGCTACCTCACCATCAAGCACCTTTCTCCCGTTGGTGCAAACGTCATGGGAAATGCCAAGACACCGGCCATCATCTTCTTTTCCATGCTCATCTTTGGAAACGCTGTAGCACCTTTGCAAGTGCTTGGACTGATTGTGACATTTTGTGGCATATTTTTGCACGCACAGAAGGGTCGTGTTGTGAACAAGTGAATGTGGGTCCAAACTTGTTGCCCCTCAACACGATCATCATCCCTCAGCCACCAAGTAAAAATTGCAAGTCCTTTCAGTGTTGGGTGCTCTCTTGGGTTTTGACCCACACCCAAGTGGCGGGAAAGAACCGGCCAGACATTTTGCTTCATGGAAAACCATGAAGCACCTGCACCACATGCACGTCGCACGTGCAAACGGCCTCTCAGCCTTTGAGATTTGCAGAAGTGCCAGATCTGGAGATTCGGGCTGGGAAGCTGACTGCAATTGAGAGAAAATGAAAATATGTCATGTTCAGATTGGGAGTTAAACTGCAGCACGAGCGGTTCGCAAGTCTACTTGAGACTCTCCAAACTTCTGTAGTGCCAATATTTGGGCAGGAAATCCACATGGATGCATGAATGATTCGCAGCTGGTGCGGGATTTTCATCAACCGCAAGTTGCTTTGTTGTCAGTCCTTTTTTCGTGGGCGATGATGAGGAATGTGCACTACTGCAAGCAAGGCCAATAATATATAGCCGCATTCATGTCGTGCTCTTTCCAGCACTGATGTTTTGATTCCCTCAAACTGTACTACAGTAACCTACCGCAGACTGCTCGACTCTTGGGTCGGAGTGAAAGACACAAACAGAAGGAGACTCCAAATGGTCGAACGGTCTTTCTTTAGACTTTAGACCGTTTTCCTGTGTTTCTTTAGACCTGTTTTCCTTGTTTTTTGCCATTATGTCTTTTGTTGATCTGATGTCCGGTGTCTTTTTTTTGTATTCTGTTCATTTTTTGGGGATCGGATGTTTGGTGCCACGCTCAGTGAGTCCGTCAACAGGAAATCGACTGGAACCAGCTGGAAATCAAATGATCTAGTTTGGTTTTTTTCTAGACCTCTCTTCTTTAGACACCCCAAAAAAATGACACCTGGGACCTGGTGTCATTCAGCGGGGTGCTGTACATTGCTAAGGCCTCTTTGCGGGTGACGAGGATCGTTGGGGCATCGGTGGCTGAGAGTGCCGGGAGCCGTTGAAGGTTGAGATTGGGTTTCCTCCCCCTAGTAGCGTCCTTGCTCCTAGTAGCGATGCCAGGAGCCCCTAGTAGCTTCTTTTTCCTAGTAGAGGAAAGCCAGTGGGGGAGGGCAATTCATTTGTGACAACGACTAGATGGGCCTAGTATGTTTTCATGTGGAGCGCTTACCCCTATGCCCGCTGAAGGGAGAAACTTGTTTGTTGACAGTAAGCAACAGTTGCACATCTTCAGCTTGCATTTTTGGAAGTCTCGCACAACATGCTCTGCTCATGTGCAACACGATAACGATAAGCTTAAAAGCTCCACCTTACGTCGAACCACCAGAAAAATCGCATGGAAATCAACAAGACGGCGGGCCGGACATATTTTCCTGATTGCTAGGAAAGGGTTTCACAACATCAGGTGTCCCAACAGGAGAGATTTTGATTCTGAGTTGATTAGTCATTGTCGACCATCAGGTGTCCCAGCTGTTAAACACTTGTTACCTACCATACAAACAAACCGCGTTCTTAGGTTTAGGTTTGTTCACTCTTTGGAATCACAGGTCACCCACGTTTCCTTTTTTTACGTTTTGAGGAGTGCTTCGACGAATACTCGGAACTCTTTGATGCGGAGACCCCCAGCACAGTTGTGTGATCGGGTGGGTCCGCGGGAAATGAGAAAAGCTTCCTTGGAATCGGTTGCGACCGATGATGGATGTACAAATCCTGTGTAAGCTATATATAAGCAAACTGTTTCCAGTCCCCATATCAGATATCGTGCATACAATTTGCAGAGTTCCACCTGGCGCAACAACCATCAGTACCTCCCAGAGGAACCAGAGAAAAAGATGGAAATGGTGTATTGTGATTGCTCGAAGAAACATAGATATTGTGGAGCACTCAACTGGAACACTTGAAAGAATGCAAACAAATAGTATGATTCATATGATCCATTTCACGTCTTGCCAGTGCAATTTGTTGATCGTAGTTGACCCTGAACCCTCAGCAAGGTGGTCATCGCGAGAATGCACGGTTTGCTGCCGTCAGGCACTCCGATTGCTGTGCTGATTGTGGTTTTTGTGCACACTTGTCAAAAGAAGTTACTTGCTAGTGCGGGAGAATGGGAGGTTTGACAAATGTTTTTTTGTGCTTCAGTCCTTCAAAACTGCTTTTCTTGAGTGCATGGACAGCAGAGAGCGAGGTATATACTTTTCGGTTACCCCCAGAATAAGAGTATAATAACTGTCATCACATTAAATAGAGCTTTTTTATAGGGTAGAACTTAACCGAGAGAAGTGCTGGTCCGTCATTCCATGTGTGGGAACGACCCCAGGTGAAGTCAAGGTGCATGGACGACCAAAGCGGCCGGATGCCTTGAAGCCTCCGAAGCCAGGGCCCAACACGACCCAGTGGGATGGGGATCACTTATTGCTAAAAGTAAGGCACTTGTTACTAGAAGCGATGCACTTGTTACTAGTAGCTT